CCGTCCTCCCCAATTTTTTATGTAAGTTCACAAGTTCACTGACCCCCTGGAGTCCATTCTTGCACACCCTAAATGTCCACAGCCCCAGGTCAAGAACATTTGACTTAGGTTGAGGGGTACACCCTGCCTTTCTGCATTTGAGTTCTGCTCAAACGCCCACCCCACCCCTCACTCCACCAAACGCTCTTCTCAGGGCAGGATTACTTCAGAAGTCAGTCAAATGTGCAAGCTTGTCCTTCTGCTCCCGGGCTGCTCCAGCCCTATGAATAAGCTCCCCGTGATACCCTGGGCCTGGAAACCCTCCTCCTCTAGGGTCTGCTATAGGGAGCCCTCCCTTAATAAGCCTTTCTAGAAAGGGCTTTTCTGGAAAGTAAGCTTTTCCATGTGGCCTGCCACCTAGGGCATTTCTCTGGCTTGCTGGGCTGAGGCAATCTCTCTCTTTCGAGGCCTCAAACATGGCCAAGGACACTTGGTTTCAGAGAGCATGATGAGAAAAGACAGTTTTTAAGTTTGGTAGGTAAACAAATGAGGCCAGACAGCATGTTTTTGATAATACCTGTTCCCTTAAAACAGAAGATGACTTTAGAAAGTACATCCTGGTTATTATTCCATGAGACCTCTGACTATTAACTAAACAGGTAGTTACGTTTACAGTTCAGAATGGCGTGCTTAAGTCTAGCGTTGACACCTATAAGTCAGTACATTAAGTTTTTAGGGTGCAGCGGGAAGGTGTGAGACTCCCTCATCTCAGTGAATGGGGTAAAGTAAACGCTGCCCTGGATAACCATAGCGAGCACTGCAAGGCCTTCTGTAGAAAGCTCTTGCCCTTTGGTCAAAGGCAGAAGAATGTGAGCTGGGCAAAAGCGCTGCAGGTAACGAGCAAACCACACCTGCTGGGGGGGTAGGGGACTTGGCTGATTGGCACCAGCTGTGTGACTGGCTGTAGCAGATATTACTATGGCTTGCCATTTCTGAATCCATTTGCACCCAGATGCAGCTCCTAGAGGTGCCAAAACATTGTAATTTACAAATAAATGTGAGTAGGAGAAAAGTTTCGCAGACATCTTTCATAAATGAGGAAGAGAATCACAGATGAGGATTAGCATCTGACAGACAGCTTCAGCCCAAAGCTCAGAGAGTGTGAACGGAAGTATCATGCCAGGTACTGCCTGCTCAGCTAATGGCGAGTCAGGCACAAAATGCAGAGTAAGAGCAGCATAGGACTCCCAGAGGGGACAGCGCCGGGGCGGATGGGAAGATCAAGGGACACAGTGTTGTGATGTGCCCAGTACAATGCCCCACGTGTAACGAGTGACTGATAAATGGTGGGTGGGAATCTGGGCAAAATCCCAGGCGAGTCCTCATGTTTCCAGTGAAAAGTTGGTTGTACTTATTGAAAACTCGGTACTTTACAGGATTTACTCCTCAGAAGAACTCCACAAGGTGAGTCTTTTTGCAAATGAAGAAAGAGAAGTTGAGTGGTGGAGTGATATATTTAATGCCATCTAGGCGGTAAGTGGAGGAAGAGGTGTTCACACTGGGCAGCCCTCACTCTCACTGTGCCTCCCTGTGCCCATGTGGACACACAGAAAAATACCAGCCAGCTCGGACACCTCTAAGCACTGGGACATCACAACAGGATGTTACCTTGTCTTGGCAAAGCCCAAATCTCTAATAGAAGTCAATATATTAAAATGGACAAAAAACAACTACAGCAATGCTGTACAGAAGAACTTTGTATGACAATGGAAATGTTTTACATGTATGGTCCAATACAGCAAACACCAGCCACACATAACTACTGAGCACTAGAAATGTGGCTCCCGGGACTGAGAAACTGAATTTTAATTTTTATTTAACTTTAATTAATGTAAATTTAAATAGCCACATGTGGCTACCATATTGGACAGCATAGAACTAGATTATTTGATTTAAAAGGAACCCTAGGGGCCATGTGCCCTCATTTCACCAAATAGGGAAATTTCCTTTGCTCTATCCCTGACGTGTTCATCCAGCTTCTTGTTACACATTTTTAATAACAAGCATCTTTTCACCTTGCTTGAGATCCGATACCTTTGTTAGGAAAACTCTTCCCAATCTAAGAGTTGCATCCTCAAGTGTATGATCTGGGGATACAGTTAGGTTTTGGTGTAATAATAAACCTACTCATTATTCCTTGGGGCTATCTCCTGACTTGCCCTCTCTACTCTTCTCGTGCCTGTGAACTTTTAGGTCTCCAAGGGTGGGCCAGCTGCACTTCAATTCTCCGGGTGCACAGTACTGCACCGCCATCCACAGAATCTAGGTGATCGCATCCTGTTGGCCTGCTGCTGAGCTGAGCTGAGCCCCCAGTGCTGCATGAGCGTGAGGATGCTTTCCCTCACCAACAGTGCTCTGCCATCTGCTCAGATTGCTTCTCCAGGACCCGTCAGCCCTTCTGCCTCTGGGGCCAGCAGCTTGGTCACTGGGCTCAGGAGCCTGATGCCTCTCATGCCACTCTGGAAAGACCGTCCCTGCTCTTTCTCATCCTCACACCATTGCTTGTCCTTAGAAATGCCACATTAAGTTGAGAGAGTTAAATTGCTTGGACTTGGCCTCCAGTCTTGACCTCCAGACTAGGCTGTTTCCTTCATCTTCGAGAAATTTGAGTGTTTTAGAAAAAAATATTTCATATCATCTTATCACCTAGAGACGAAATCCTTCATTTACTTATTCTCAGCAGCAGGGTAGTCAGCTACCCGATCTGTTCTGTTCCTTTCTCTAAACTGGTCTCTCCCTTTCCCACTTTCATCTAGTCACCTCTCCTGGATTTCATTCTGGGTCAAACAGGTGCTGAATAAATCTTGGCTGAATTAAAGGCTTGTTGAGAATGGCAGTTCTATTCAAGCATTTAACAAAATTTTTCATTATACACTTATGGTCTAGATGATGCAAAGGGAATACATATTATGATAGTTGGATAGATTTATCACTGGTTGAAGCTAAGAAATACAACGCTACCTTCTATTCATCCATTACTATAATTAAACGAGATTAAATTGGTGTGGTTTAATTTTAGTGAATTCTTTCATTTCTTAGTTACTTACAAGTCCCTGTTAAGTGAATAATTAATACTTCATTCTTAGGCATGGGGATATTTTATAAAATATTGAAGCAAGAGAAAGTGGAGGCTGTGGAACATATTAAGACTGTATTCATTACTTTAAATTAACTTCATCTGGGCTTAAACAAAAAGGAGAGGGCATTAAAAGAGGGCTTGCTAGAATAGTGAATTATCTGCAATGAGACACATGTACATGAGGAAAAATCCAAAGTGAGCTGAGAAGAAGGATAAGGAAGACTACATTGACTTCCAAGTTCGTAACTGAGTATGGCACCTTTTATCCTGATGGATTTCAAAAGCCTGACCATTCTGTATTATTATCTATTATAGGAATTTAGTTTAAACTCTACTAACATTCCCTAACAGCACTATTTATTGGATATATGCAGCTGCCTCTAAGATAATATACACGAGAGCTCTGCATTGGATATTATGTGACTCACCTAATTCAGTTTATATTTTTATAGGTAATTAAGAAGCATTCTAAAGGTAGTCCTTTAGGGAAACATATCTTTTCTTTCTGACTTGGAGTGGTAATTTAATAAATAGTAAAATTGGTGAACTTTGCAAATATTTAGTTAACAATCTAGGATACATGGAGTTCATGCACCAAGCAGAATTCTGGCTCACAATATGCCTGAGAGATAACTATCCCAAAAGGGCAAAAAATAAAGTCATACTGACATAGAGGAAATGGGTTTGGGGATTCCTAGTTTAGTTCTTCATCATTTCAGTGAAATTATTTCTTATAGAAGCAAACATCTCCAAAGTAATCCAAGCAAAGGATATTAAATGGGCAGACAGCATTTGTTTGGACATAACCTTACAGTGTTATGAACAATGTTCTAACTACAATCAGGTTGGCAGTCTCAAGAGGTCAATAGTATTGTTTCTCATTGAAACAAACAAAAAAGCAAAAACAGCCTCGAGCGATGATTCTTTCATAGGCTGAGACATAATTTTCCAGTACATAAAATAATATTGTTCTACTACAATTTAACATTTTATATATCTGGCTTTGCAAATTAATCTCATATATTACTTGCTTTTTAACATGGCAACTTTCCAAACTGGATTTAGGTTTACACTTAATCATAGAGGTAGAATCTGTTGTTTAACTATAGTTAATCATTTTTTAAAATTCCTATTAAAATAAATTCGCATTAACAAACAATCCTTCAGGAAAAGGTCAAAGGGAATATTCACAAAGCAGAGGCAGCATGACATGGTGGAAAGTGAATAGATTTTGGAATCGGACCGATCAGGGTTTAAGTCTATGTTCTTAAGTTCTATGTTTCAGTTCTCTCAGATATCTGCTTATACTGACTGCGCATGTTCCCTGGAAGTTCATAAAGAAAGGCACAATGAGATGCACTCTCTAGAAGCTTAAGCAACAGACTAAGCCACAACCCAATTAGACCCAGTGAATAGAAGGAAAAGCAGGGGGAGGGGCCAGCAGCAGAATTTCTGGAGTTTACAGAACACCAAGGTTAATGAACACCTCGTGCTGCGTGACTGAGGACCACCAACAGATGGAGTAAGAGGAATTGAGCAAGACCGCCTGCTGTCTCTGCTTCTCCACCACTTTCTCTCTACAACTGAGGAGCCATGCAAATGCCAGTTAATATCCAGGCCTCCGTTTCCACATCTGTAAACTGGGTTTTGAATAACCTCCCATTCCACATTATAGAATAAAATAGCTACCTAAAAAGTAAGGGAAAGAAGAGAGAAGAGGAAGAAAGGAAAAGGGGAGAGTCCTGCGAAGCCCAGTTCTCTTTTGCTCAACAGGGTGAGGGTGTGGGAAGGCGGCAGCAGGAGGGAGCCTAGTTAACCTCACGTATGTGATTTCCAAGGCTGATGGCAGCGAGATCAGAGAAGGATGATATTAAGGTCTTGCCTGCCACACGTCCAGTCTTCCAGGGAATTCCATGATACCACTCTGGGAGACCTGGTGCTGTTGACGATGGGTGGGCACAGAAGACAAAGAGAAGGCAGGTCAGACAGTCAAAGCTCTCTGGAAGCAAGGACAGTTTGGAGGAGAAACGAGGAAGTAGTTTCAAATTTCCTATCATAGAATAGCTACAGAAACTGGTTACTAGATTTACCAATGGAATCTAATAAATAACAGCTGGCCTTGGGGGTTTTTTTAAAAAGCAATGTGAAAGGCAAAATATGTATCTTTAAAGAAGGCTGAGAACGCATATGAGATATTTTTGATTGACTGTTCAGTTCATGAGATCATCTGGCATGAAATAAAATGCTTCTTTTTTTCATGCAGTGATTGCCTAAGTTAAATATGGGAAAGCGACCTACACGACAATTTTCGGTTTGTGGATCTGATTTTTCATAAGCCTCACCACACACCCCTCACCAAGAGTTCTTGTTTCTGGTGGATTTGTTTCACCTCCTTTGTGAAAGCCTCAGAGAGAAGGCAGCAAGCAGGAAAATCTGCTATTTATAGACGTTTTTGACTAAAAGTGTCTGCTCAGCGTGCCATGGAATACTTCCAAGAGGTGGGAGAACAGGAAACTATCTAAAATCAACTAGAAGGCTGGAGGAGTGTTATGGGGGAAAGATTTTACACGGGAGTCATTTTCAGAAAGCTCAGGTTTCATTTGCAAACAAATGACAGTTACTTTCACTGACACCCCCTGAGTTACCCAAAAGCCAGCTAAACTTCTACTAGTTAAGGAGAGAAGAAAAAAAGACATGAATTCTCTGAGGATTACAAGTAACTGGGATCCTTTATGGGACTTAAAAGGGAAAAGTCCTGAGGAGTCTCTCTCTCCATACCTAATATTTACTACCGGGGTGGGGGGGGCACCCGTCAGGCTGATGCCTGTAGCAAACTTGGGTGAGCAGGCAGCCTTCTAAGTGGGGACTGCAGGTCCTGGGTGACCTAACAGGTGTCCTACTGTGCCCACAGGAGGATCTTTATCACCACTCCTTTCCACTTTTGTAACTAGACACAGCAAAACCATTTGCTCAAGTTTTCATAATTAAGTCCTAATTTTATTAAATGTAGCCCACTCTTCCCGTGACTTCTGATGGGCTTGGTTTTCACTGTTTTGGTGGCAGTGGGGAGGCATGTGAGGTAGGGAGTCTTTACCGGAAAGAGAGAGCTGACAGGAAGTGTGGGCTTCCATGGCTCTGTGGAGAAAACAGGTTCTGATAGAGAACTCGCTTCAATGTTCATTTGCTTTGTTTGAATTTCTACAGCCTTATAAGAATGATGTAGCTGGCTTCAGAGAATGGTGAGGATTAATCAGAGACCTTGGGCATGAGCAAAGAAGAGTGATGGACAAGGGCCTGTTGTCATTGGCTAGCAGCGGTGGAAGAGCTCCCACCTATCACAGTTGCCATGATGGAAACACACCTCAGAGAACCTGGGTAAGCCAAAACAGGTGATGAGGAGTCCCCTATAGACAAGCCTCATAGCTGCTGCTGTTAATGAAACTGTCCTGTTGACTTACCAAAGCTGCCTGGAAGAAGGCAGCCGGCTCTGGACAGACTCAAGGCATGAAAACAAACGGAGGTTTTATCTGAACAAACTAAAGCTCGAGGAGGCCAGAAGAACTGTGTTCCATCAGTAAATACTAAGCCCTGGGAAAACCTGACCCACTGACGCTGAGCTAGCAAAACATTGACCCTTTGTGATCTTTTTACCTGCAGACAAAAGCTCTACGTGTTTAGTTGGCACATGGGATGAAGAAGCCTTAAACCTACACTGTGACAAAGACCTGTTGTCATTTGACACTGGGAGAGGGCTTTCCTTTACCACGGAATCAGATATGCTGGTTTAAAAAAGATTAGATCAAGAAAAATGTAAAAGAAAAAGTGATGTGGTACATGAAAGACACGAAGAAGAGGGGAAGCATCTGAGGATGTGTACATTCAAACACTTCACATGATGGTTTTCACTTACTTCCCAAATTTGAAATTAAATTTTTTTCTAAGACCTGAGCAAACACAAGAGTCACGTCGTTATGCCCATTTTACAGACATAGAAATGGAAGCACTAAGGAGAAGGAGTTGAAAGTCAGCGGCAATGTTAAAGCCAAGGGACCCGATGAAGCTCATTTTCATCTTCTAGACTCTACTGCCTCCTTCAGCAGATAAAATAATATAGTCTGACGGTTACCTAACAAAATTGGGTTAGAGTGCGGTTCTTGGATTGATCTCTGTATCAGAATCATCCCAGGACTACTGAGTCAGACTCTCTTGGGTTGATGCCAGAAATCCTCGTTTCTAGACACTCTCAAGGTGATTCCTGCAGACAGAAATTTAAGGAACCTCTGCCCTAAATATTCCATGATAGAGCAAGTGGCCACACAGACATATGATTCTATACATGCAGACGAATGTGGTATTATTATGCTAATTTTTACCCACATGATGCCACCATGTAATGCTTTGTTCAGCATTTCCAACTTTACAACTAGATCTTTCCAGTTACTCACTTTTTAATTTCAAAAGCAATGACCAAGAATACTCAGTTGACCAAGGAAAGACCTCTTATGACCTGTAGCCCTTGGTATCTCCTATGCTCCATTCCTTTCAGATTTTCAAATCTGAAAAGTTGCCCTGATTTAATATATTTGGTCTTATTGTTCCAATATATTTTCTTCTACATGTCACTATAAATTCTATTTTTGACTTTGGAAAATATGGTTACGGCTATGTTAACAATTTTTATTCTAGGCAAGTGAGGTGAGAGGTGAGGGGAGCTGGCTGCCAAGAGAGTGAAAGATGCCAGAGAGAAGTGGTTGTCTTCATATCCGGTCTCAGGGCTCTGAGTGTAGGGCCTAAAGATCGCAACTCCAAACATGGAGCAGTGCCGCTCCATTTGTCCTCCTTTGGAATGTGGTTTACTCCTAATGAGACCACTGGGATGCAGGAGGGACTGACAGGGATAACAGGAGAAACATATCCATTTCCTTTTTTTAGAAGTGACAAATACTACCCTGCCATTTGTAACCAGAGAATTACAAATTGCAGGTAATTATTTAATTCACAACTGTCTTCATCTGTTGTGAACATTTTCAGCAACAAATATGCTTCAAATCTGACTTTCAGATCAGTTCTTTTCTCCCTTTGCCTACTTGTGCCTTGACCCTATAGACTTAAAAGGATGTAGCAAGGGGCTAGCCCGGTGGTGCAGTGGTTAAGCGAATACATTCCGCTTCAGTGGCCCGGGGTTTGCCCGCGTCGGATCCCAGGTGCGGGCATGGCACTGCTTGTCAAGCCATGCTGTGGTAGGTATCCCACATATAAAGTAGAGGAAGATGGGCACGGATGTTAGCTCAGGGCCAGTCTTCCTCAGCAAAAAGAGGAGGATTGGCAGCAGATGTTAGTTTAGGGTTAATCTTCCTCAAAAAAAAAAAAAAAAGGAGGTAGTAAGAATGGGTAAGCTAGTCTTTGAAAAGAGCCTTAAAGGTTTTCACAATGTGTAAGATATAATGGAAAAAAGAAGAGGGCTGTAGCTGGGCAGCGAGCAGCTCATCTCAGCCTGCTGCTGACAAGATGATGGATCTTGTATGAGTCAAGGTAACTCCTTCGTGTTTATTTTTCTCACTTTTAGAAAGAGTGGGTTGGACTAAATAATCTCAAATAATTCTTGCATAAAGTGATTATCAGAGGAGAAATAGGCAGGTAGAAAGATGGTATGTCCACCTTGCAGGGAGACATTTGTGAACGAGATGGTTTACCAGATGGCCGTCCAATGAGGCGATTCTAGAATGCTAAAATTGTCATTTTTTTGAAAAACAAAAAACAGAACCTGTGTGGTCCTTTCATTGTACACCTTAAGGTTTTAGAGACCTGGACAGGAAAATCAGGGAGGAGTCAGAAAATCCTGCAGGTTTATGTTAAACAGTGGTTAAAAAAAAAATAAGGGAAGCAGAAGTCATTTCCTTCCACTGTTTAATGTCTCTTTGTATGAGAGAGATTTATCCTCACACCAGAGATGCAGGACACTTCTAACTGGTTTATACTAATGGCTTGAGATCAAGTTCAATATAATCATTGTAAAAGCAAGGTAATGAGTTTTCTAGCGGGATATGTGAAAAACTATTTCCCACTTTATAGTCATTCTTCTTACATGGACTTTGTGAAAAGACACACTTAAAATTGATCTTATGTCATGAATCAGAGATCAAAGAAAGCATATGTATAAATACATATTTTAGAAGTATCGGTGTAGAAATGCCTATGCAGATGTAACATGTATATATAGACCTCTACTCATGTGCACAGAACACAGTAACCCTAACATGTGTATACGGACCTCTACACATGCACACAACATCCAGTAACCCCAACCTGTATATATGAACCTGTACATGTGTACACAGCATCCAGTAACCCTAATCTGTATACATGGACCTCTACACATGCATACAACATCCAGTAACCTCAACCTATATATGCGGACCTGTACACAAATACACAGCATGCAGTAACCCTAACCTGTATATATGGACCTATATACAAGTATACAGCATGCAGTAACCCTAACCTGCATATATGGACCTGTACAGGTGCACACAGCATACAGTAACCCTAACCTGTATATATGCACCTGTACACACGCACACAGCATGCAGTAACCCTAACCTGTATATACGGACCTGTATACACGCACACAGCATGCAGTAACCCTAGACCCCACAACATTCTGCTTCATAGATAGTTCTGTCATACCACAAGCCTGAATTTTGTAGGAAGTTTCCTAAATCTGTGAGGACAATGGGTAGAAATTCCAATTGATAGAGAATAGTGACCTAATGTACATGAAAGAAAAGATCTACCTATCTAGAAAACTCATTTTGCAAATCTAATTAGAAGTCTCTTTATCTTAGAAATGGAAACAAGGCAGCATATTGCTAAACTTCAGCAAATTAAAAAAAAATCCCAGTTTTTAAAGATAGTCCTATATATTCTTATACTTAAAGGACCAGAGAATCATAAGAGGTCTTTCCTTGGTCAACTGAGTATTCTCCAGGAAATAAAAGAATTAAAAAATACAATAAACAATTGGTCAAAGGCACAGAAGGAATAGATAATATGCTTCTCCTTACACTATATTCCCTCCTTTATGTGTAACAGTAATTATTTTCTTCTTTATATCTTTACCTTTTAGCTACAAATAGAGAGGACTGGGTCGAAGGAAAAGAAATCATCCACTGAAAAAAATTAAAGCACCCTCAATTGTGGTTTCAGTCTAAGAATTTATAAAAACACTTAAATATGCATTAAAAAAATAAGACAAAAAAAATTTTCCCTGTGCCAAATGTGTTGCAAATGGCAGTTAGGAGGGCCAGAGCCTGCTGGAGGGGGATGAGGGAAGATGGTGTTGAGAAGCAGATAAATGAGCCCCAGAGGTGAAGTTACACATGCTTGTTATTTTTATCCAAAGGGAAAAGTTACGGGTTCAAAATTTCAGATGAGTAATGCAAATCGTTGTGAGGTCATATAACTTTTCACGGATCTTATTAAAAATAACCTGGTTTTACCTGAAAAGGCCAATTTTTTTTCTCTACCAAGTTTCCCTAGCAAATGACAGAATAAAATCTGACTGTTAAGGGATACTAGAGGTTGAACCAAATGAAGTTTCAGATTTCAACTGTTTAGATCTATAAAAATACAATTTCTCCATGATTCAGCTCCATATCAATGAGGTCTAGGGCCAAGGACCCTAGCAATACACGCTTTTCCAAAAATGAGAAAAATGATACCAAGCTTAATTAAGTAAAAAATTTCTTCCACTGAACTCTAAATTCACAATAATCCAGTAACAGAGGGTGTTGCCTTTGAACCTAACGCCAAAATGATTAAAAAAAAAAACCCTAATCTAGTCACCAAATCAAAGTCAGCTTGACCATATTGCACACATTTTTTATTGGCCCCTATACAACCTCAAATAAAAGATCAATGTATTCTACCATTCAAAAATCACTGTTTGTGTCAAGTTGTGTAAAGCCATGATTTCAAATGGACCAGAGATTGTGGATGGATCTTTTTCTACAAAGTGGTCAATGATTACCTTCAATTCCTGTCTTTAATTTGCACTCACGCAAACTGTCCTCTAAGGAGAATGGAGAAAGAGGAAACAGAGTCCACTGGCCACTAAGAAATCCAAGGCTAGTTTTTCTCTTTTAATCTGTGTTAACCAATGCTATTAGTAGCCTTCCATTAGTAGACTGGACTCGGTGGGATCAGAAAGCATTTGTTATGAAACCTTTGTGGCTAACCAAGTACTTCTGGTGTTGTCGAAGCTGTCTTCAGAATAATGAAATTGCAGACCAAGAATAATAAAGTTTCTTTAACAGCTTTCAAGAAGGATTTCCTATTTCTTTTTGATCTTCCTGGTCCTACCACTGGCTCCTTCTGGACCCCTGCTTTCTCACAGTGCTTTGCCAATTGTCTCTCCTCCTCCCATTAATCAGATATGGACAATCATGGGAATTAGAAAGAATTAGTGAGAGAATTACCAAGATTTAGCTGCTGATCTCTGATTCTACATTCAAAGTCAGCATGAGGCAGGAGTAATCTCAGTTTTCTATCAATGAAAGGGAACATCTCCAATAAGATCAGTGATAAATAGGGAGACGATCGTGCAAGCCAGAGAGAAAACATAGTCAAGAATCTGTCTTGCTGGATTATTAAGGAAATTTAAATTAAACATAAAGAAAATCATCACTGTGGTTGATGGGGTTTAAAAAAAAAAGGCAGCAAGGAAACATCACAAGCAGAATTGCTCAACACTGTCATACATTTTACACAAAGTAGTTTCAACTGATTTAGCATAATTTAAATTGTTCAAAAACAAGAGTAAGGAAAACAACAGCCAGGGAAAGAAAATCCCCACTGGGCAAAGACTGAAATAATCTAAAACAAAATTTTGAAAAATAGTTGTACCTGCATCAGAAAAAATCCTGGGTTCATGCTTGTTATGAATGATTCTTCAGTGATCTTTTCTGGAGTCTTATTTAACCAACAGACCAAAAAAAAAAAAAACCACCCCCCAAACCCAACCATCCAGAAATTTTAATTTTGCAAAGGAATAGTAAGCATTCAGAATTCTTGTCATGGAAAACGACTGATCACATTTCAAGCATTAGCCATATAATATCCTATAATAGCACCTAGCACCTTGCATCCTCTGTGTCAATTAAAGATTTTATGAAGCCCCCGTGGGGACACAGATTTGTAGGTATCTGATGTCTCAACCTGGTTTCTTACCATCTGCACACACATTAGTTTGTTAGCTCTTTCAGTCTTACTAGCCATTCTTTAGAGAAGAAACACAATAACAAAAACTATCCTCCTTCCTCCCCCAAAACCACCCAAACCAACAACACACGATCACCAAGTACAAAGTAATAAAAGAGTTGTACCCAAACCTGGTCAGTCCTGCCATTTCTCGAAACTTGCACACAAACTGAAGAAACCCACTCAGCCTTAAAAAGGTCGATCATTTTGGTCTCCTAAAATTTCATCTCTGAGAGTGCTTTCTTTCTCGGTCTCTGTCTTGCTCTCTCTCTCCCTCTCTCTCTGTGTTTGTCTCTACTTCTACCGGAGAGCGTTTTGTTTCCCTTTTCCTGTTTCTGCTGCTGGATGAATGCAAAATACGTGATTTGAAGGGATTTTTTTTTTAGGTTAACAGTTGGAAATCTAAAATCTTGCTCTTCTGAATGGCTTTATATGCCAGTCACTCAACACAGAACATTTACATAAAGAGGTATACACAGAATCAAGAATGCTGCTTTTGTAAAGCAAAAACAAAACAACAACAAAAACTCCTTTCAACCCCTTCCTATTTTGTTTACTTACCCTGAGATGTGCCATAAATGCTTTATTCCAAATGTATAAAAGCCAGCCACATCTCAACTGAGAATTAGACAGTTTTAACGTCTTCAAATCCATGTCCCTGCTCCAAACTCCGATACAGACAGTCACTGGCAGCGGTACAATAGTTCTAAACAGCAGACATCTGATTCTTGACATTTAAAAATAACAATATTGGGGGAAAAAAGCGAGCCTTTTTTTTATTAACTACAAACAGCTTGTGAGTGAGCACATATCACCAATGGACTGTAGTAACTTGCAATGATTTCAAGCTACAGTTTTTTATTTCTAAAGTAATGTCAGACAAATACCTATAGACCTCTCATTTTCTATAGAATCACGGCAATGACCT